GGACATTGAGGTTAATACAGTACATGTAGTATTAATTAAGGAACGCATTGACTAGTATTTTGCTTGCCAAATTTTTCTTAAATATGTTGATTAACTGTTTGTTTCACAGAATAAAGAAGCTGGTGACAGTGACTCAGAGGCAGAACAAGATAAACTAGCAGAGGTCGAACAGCTTCTTGCTGAGTATGATCCAGAATTTCAAAAGTAAGTGTTGAAACCAATCCCTCTTACTTAGGGTGTGATAAAATATAATTTGTATTGTATAACAGTGGTTTTGTTAACCCTTTCACCACCAGTTCCCTCTTTTCATCACAAATTAAAAAAATTGTTCCTTTTAATATAGTCTGCACTTTCCTTCAAAAGATTTGAACACAAATAGCCAAATATTTTGATTAAAAACTGAAAATTTACCCACAAAACTAGTTTTCTTTTTCGAAGATATTGAAGAATATAGGAAAAAAGATAAATTTGTGCGAGAAAGTCTGGTGGTTAAAATGTTAAGGGTGGTGATTAGGTAATTATTGTTACTACAGAGTTGTTTAACCTTTTCATCACCTGTTCCTGCTTTTCATCATAAATTAGTTCTGTTTGTAGTTTGCACTTTTCTTCAGAAGATTGGGACAAAATAGTAAATTTTTTGATTAAAAACTGAAAATGGGCTCCAAAATTAGGGCTCATTTCCAGAAATATTGAAGATCATGCGGCGAGTAAGTCTGGTTAATGAATATATTACCTCACTTCTCCATAGTCTTAGTTGTTTGGAATTTCTGTCACATTTTTCTCATTAACCATTTAACAAAGAATCCTTGTGGGGAGCAACGTCACAAGACGTTCCATGTTTCTAAGACTCGCACCACTGTACCACGTATTTTTCTACGGGCTCTGCGCGCACTGCTGAGGAACGCCGAGCGAAGAACCGGTGAAAATTCAAGAAAACAACAGGAACTCAACTTTGAAGTAATCCTGAACAATCAAATTTATATGCATTACACACGCAGGGGTAATCTTGTTACACTGTTCAGGGGAGTCTCAACAACCATCCCAAAGTACCGTTTTCTGAGAGTTTTCGGCCTTTGTTTTCACTGTGATGGTTGACTTGCGGTGAAAATGCCCAAATGTCCGCCCCCAAGAATAGGATGGTCTCACTTACGTCACTTTGGCTACTGAAGACATAGTATTGGCAGCATGCATATAGACCAATGAAGTGAAATATAAGGAGTATTGTGGAGTTGTTAACCAACAGTTGGGTTGTCTGTGTCAAGAAGTTACAAAAATAAAGCTGCCAATTAAAACATACTTTCTCCCTCTTGGGTGGATTCTGGATTCTGCGTGACCAATCATTCATGTACAAATGGATTTTACAAAATATTATTTTACCAACCAATTCATACACAGATGCATTTTGATAAATTATAGATGCACAATGTTGTATGCATTTGTAAAATTAACAAAATATTAAACAAACAAAATAACAGCTATAATTCAAAGTAATGGTACATTAATTATAAAGAATTGCCTTTATAAGCATTAAAACAAACACAACCAAGTGTTCTTCAATCTTGCAAAATAAATTGTTATAACATTATCTCTATCTGCAACTAGATGTACATCATATTCACTTTATGTTCTAGGGAGATGTTGGCGCAACAACAGGTAGGAATGACCTTTGACCTCACTGAGTATTACCAACTACATCTGGGCGTGGAGCGGATCCGGGTTCCAGAATTATTATTCCAGCCGTCAATGATTGGTGTGGAGCAAGCCGGAATTGCAGAGACACTGGAATACGTTCTGAGTCGATATCCTATGGATGTTCAAAATAATCTTGTCCAAGTAAGAATCAACCAACCATCACCATTCTATTTCACTGTTGTCAAGATATATCTATTTTATTTCTTCTGAGGCTGCTTTACTAAAAAAAAAAAAACCCTCAGACACAATCGTCAGTAGATCTGCTGGAAATAATTTGTTCCATGCAATCTGTGTACCGTATATGCCTAAGTCAAGTTAAATTTTATCTCTACAACTAATTGTCGCAGGAAATTCGAATACTCATCCAATTTGCATCTTGTTCTCTCTCTGCATGATTTCTTCAGCTACTGCTGCTGAGTTAATTGTTTCCACGGCATGTAATTCCTTGATTCATGATTGTTTAACTCTCCTCCATAGTTGTGATGTTCAGGGACTCTAGTAGTATATTAATAGTGCTGGTATGTTTTATTGTAATTATTCCTTGTTTATTACTTGTTCGTTTAGTCTAAATTCACCAAACCCAATACTATAAGTGATTAACATATAGCAATCATGCCGACCTGTCGGGTATCTTAACGTCTAAGTACTAGGTCAGCCAATAACCCAAGGGACAACATTCAATTAGACCTATGTCTAACTTGAATGAATCAAGTATTGAGTGTGTGGCGTACTAAAGGAAACAGTCTGTCGGTCTTCAAACATACAAATTCTCCAATTCCAAGATGTTATCAATGAAACCGCTGATTCTTGCTGTTTCAACCGATATAACCAACTAACAACACAATTTATACACGTTTATGGTCTTCTAAGTGTAACAAAATACATTATACATTGCACTTTACATAAACATTTATTCATGCAATGGTGACAGTAGTAATTTTCTTCATGAGCTGTCCCTTCTGATGGATTCCCTCCCTCTTTGTGCAGCCATGTATGATTAATGTTTATTTGTTGAAACTATGCGCAGCTAATATGTGTTTATTTCTTTTAGAATATTTTCATGACAGGTGGCAACACAATGTATCCCAATATGAAGACTAGATTGGACAAAGAGCTATTAGCAATGAGACCTTTCCAATCAGCATTCAAAATACACACTGCCAGTAAGTGTTTCACTATATATTTCATATTTCACTTCAACTTATCACCACCAGGAGGGTACATGTATGCGATAACCAGTTTTGAAAAGAGTGAAATAGATAAAAGTCATAAATATTGATACAAGGTCAAAATGATTATCTAGAACAAAAATCACAATTGATTCAGACACAGCTACCGATCAATCAACTAATAGTGACTAGATGTAAGACAACTCATGCAAACACACCATACGAATTTGGAGCGAATTTGGACATCAAAATAAAGAACTGTAATCATATGTTTTACTTATGTGGCGTGAGCAATTAACTGGATTATGCTTTGACTCTAATCACTGATAATGTGACGTACATGGAGTTATGTAACCCAACATACAAAATTGGAGTTAATTTTCAGTTTTTACTCAAACAAACAGCCTCTCGGCTGAGATAGCTCCGCTGTTATCAATGCACATTTCAATTAAAGAACAGAAGATATCATCAGAAAATGAACAATATGTATCTGTATTAAAGCAATCACACTTGCTGTTTTCAACAAAAATTTGAAAATATAACTTTTTATCAAAAATATTCATTAAAATCATCACGTAATGAACAAATCTGAGAGAGGTCTACCTGTAGTACCTATGTAGTATATATAATATCAAAGCAATTAGACTTTCAGTTTTTAACAAGAAGTCGAAAACATCACTTTTTACCAAAAATGACAAAAATATTCATTAAAATTAGAGAATTGAAGATATCATCACGAAATGAACAAATTTGAGAGAGGTCCACATGTAGTACTTACATATGTAATGTCTAAGCAATCGGACTTGCGTTTTTTCAACAAGAAGTCGAAAATATAACTCTTTACCAAAAATGCCAAAAATATTCATCAAAATGAGAGAATTAAAGATATCATCACAAAATGAACAAATCTGAGAGAGATCCACCCAAGGTACCTACATAACAAGTATCAAAATATTTGGGCTAGCGCTTTTCAAGAAGAAGTTGAAAATAGCGTTTTTGACCAAAAATAACAAAAATATTCGCTATAAATAAGACAATTGAACATATCCACACGAAATGAACAAATCTGAGCGAGAACCACCCAAGGTACCTCCCTAAAAAGTTTCACAGCTATACAGTTTGTGGTTTTAAGAGGAAGTCGAAAATATAAAGTTGACGACGGCGACAACGATGGCGCGACGACGTCGGAGGATAAACAGTAATACTATCAGCTTCGCTCGACTTCGTCATCAGCAGAGCTAAAAAATTGGCTCTATTCTGAATGAAAGTGCAGACTATAAACATGACTATTTTTGAATTTCTAATGAAAAGAGGGAACTGCTGGAAAAAAGGTTAAATAAAAACACACATAATAACCCCGGTAGAGGCTTTGGAAATGAGCATACACAAAGAAACCAGCTTGAGATAACCTACCGGTAGTTCTTTCAGAATCTCACTCACTTACATTAGAATTTCTAGAAACATATGTTTGTCATGTGATTATGTCATTTTTATTGTATCTTATAAATCCTGAATAGTGAATAAACATGGAGTAGCTAGGAATTTGCCTTCTATGGGGAACCATGGTTGTCACCTGTCTGGTTTTATCCAGGAACGCAGTCGTGTCATTGAACCGTAATGAATGAATGAATGAATGAATGAATGAATGAATGAATGAATGAATGAATGAATGAATGAATGAATGAATGAATACTGATGGAAGACACTTACACTGGCACATGTACTATTGATTTTATTTTGTGTATTTATTTTCAGATAACCCATTACTAGATAGTTGGTATGGAGCTAGAAAATGGACACTATCGCAAAATGTTTGTTATATTACCAAAGCTGAGTATGAAGAGAAAGGGGGAGAATATTTAAAAGAACATATCACATCGAATACATTTGTACCAACGCCAAAATAAATATCAGATGTTTTTTTTGTACTTCATCACAGCAAATTATTTGTTGTTACTTTCCCTTTCACCACAGTGTAGTTAACTGTTATCTTCTAAAGGTTGATAAAGACAGATTTAATAATTTGTTGATACACATTGGTAAATGTTACACATAGAAATATGTGAAAAAACTTACAATAGGCCAAGCAACAGAACAAATTTTAGAGTAAACCATGGGTTTTTACAAAGATCCTGAAACTTTTCTGTAGCATTGGATAAACCAATGTCACTCACAACCAAAACAGTTAATTAAGAACAGAACTAAAATGAGTTGAGTTGATTATTGTACCAAGGATTACACATTGGCTCTATGAGTGGCACTAACGCCTTTAATTAACCTGTTCACCACCAGTTCTCTCTTTTCATCACAAATTCACAAAATAGTCTTATTTATAATCTCAACTTTCCTTCAGAAGACTGGGACAAGAATAGCCAAATTTGTTTGTGTAAAATCTAAAAATTGACTCAAATTTTGTCTCTTGTCTCCAAAATCAGGGTTCATTACCAGAAATATTGAAGAATATAAGAAAAAAGTGCAGACAAATTGGGGCGAGAAAGTCTGGTGGTGAAACGATTTAAAAAAAATGATCATATTTCCTTGAATATTGTTTTTTTTTGTGGTAAAAATTTTGTTCGATTACATATGGTAAAAAAATCATGTGTAATAACAGGTACAAGATACTTATGGTTGTAAGGAATTACTGGGAATTCTGATAAATAGTGAGCTTTAACATGACTTGATTGGAGTTGTTGGCAGTTTTTCTCTAAACTAAGATAGTTTGCAAAGGGAAAGAACCTGAAAAGTTGATGGTATGTGTAAAAATCCATTATTATGTAAGCATCCCCTGCCGGTCACTTGTAGCATAGTGGTTGTCGCATCAGACTCATGATCGGTAGACCCAAGTTCAAATCCTACCTTAGGCTGAACATCAAAAGAGTCGACCCCTACCCTGGGTGAGTGTGCCACAGACTCAATGGAAAGGCCAATTCCACTGGCCGAGATTCATTCACTAATGAATGCGACTTTGGGGGAACACTAGCACTTGCAATTTGCACTTACAAAAAAAAAAAAGTCAGGGGAGACAACATCTCCTGCTGCAGGCCTCTAAGGACGTATCAAAATGAATGGAAAAAATGGGTGCTGTCAGGCAACGTGTTAAAACACTTAAACTTAGACTTGTGTTGTGATAAAATTGTCACACCTATTTATTAGGACAATCTACGTAAAAAGTCTTGTTGTTGACATTGCGTGGTAGTATTAACATTGAAGTTTATTTTTATTACAACTCATAACCTATGAAATGAGGCTAAATAGAAAATGACGACTTAATCAGACTACCAGAAATAACTGTTCAATTAGACAACAGTAAGTGAAAATGAAACCGTATTGATCAACCTTGATCAACATTTATTGACACTGGTATATGGTAATGGGCAGTGGTCATCATGCCCTGTCCTGTTTGATATATATACGAGACGTATACTAGTACATGTATATAGCAACATATCCAACGTGTGTAAAATACATTATTTGTTTACATGAAATAGTAATAATTTAAATGTATTTGAAATAATAGTTGTATCCTGCCTATAGTCTAAACCTTGGGATTATATACATTACCACCACTTATTCCATCGTATTATTTTTCTATAGTTTAACAAAATAAAATAAAAATATCTGTGGATAACAAGATTTATTTTTTTGTTATTTTTGTGTGTATATTGAAATGACATTGTTCGGTTGTATTTAAGGGTAATACATTTTTTTTTGATAATTTCTTTTAAAGCAGGGGAGTTGTCACGTGCGCATGTGTCAGATGGCCATAGTGTGTCATTGTTTACAAAGAAGCATCTACCCATGATCCTTTGCGTTTTTAGCGTGAGTTGTTATCATCGCTTGGGACTCAATTCCTGTGCGTGCGCAGGTGACGACCCTCGCGCTTTAAGTTGCTCTGGTTATAACTAGTATATAATTTCAAGTGGCATAGTATTGAAGGAAAGTGGTCGTGACAACACGTCCTGTTTGATATGGGCATACACGGCTTATTGTAATCGAAGAAACGAAATGGGATAATACACATAATGAAAATTAAACTGTAATCAGGTTTTATACGCACAATATTTACAAAATATTTGCTAAAAATAACTATTTAATACGTAAATGGTTCGTTTACAGATAATCAAAAATCTGTAATCAGCGAAACAAGAGCCTTACACGTACAATTTGTTGGACAAAAATTTGCCAGTATATTCACCTTTTAAGTCGTATATATAAGGACATAAAACATTTGCCAAAAATAACAATATTTAATTAGTAAATGGTTTGTTTCGCCAATGAGATAATCAAAAATCTGTAATCGGCGAAGAAAGTGTCCAACACATACAATATTTCGACATGTATGTATTGTACGTCAGGCTCATAATTTACCAGTCAATTACTCCGTATTATCATCCATCCTTCATTGGGATTATAAAACGTTATTTGGCAGTTGTGTGCTAAAAATAAAAAAAGTACCTCCATGATAGTACGTACTGTGTTGATAGGGACATACTCGATTACCCATGTGCATGACACGCAGTCTATGTACACAGCGCTGCAACGAAACTGGCGTTGTCTATCTTCATTAACAGCCTGGGAATAATTTGATTTTTGTTGTTTTTAAGCTGTTGTTAACAAAACTCATAAAAAAACACACAGTCATTGAACTACTGTAAAACATGTTGAAAAAGCGACATGCATTTTAAATGACGTAATAGCGAAATGCTGATTTAGCGAATCTCCAAGCCTTGACTATTTTGAATTTATAATAAAGTCATTAGCAACATCTTGAATTAGCGAATCAGTTCTCTCGCTAAATTCGCTAAAAAGACATGCTCGCATAAAAGACACGTTTTACAGTACTTTTCAAACAGCACTGGACTATTCACACAATGTTCATGCTGATTGTAGCTATTAACATGTACGAGTATAAATTTCACTTTATCAGATGACGAATTAAAAGCATTATGGACGTATGTTTGTGAAAGCATTTATTTATTTATTTGTTGTATCTTTTTACATCAGGGGCCCACTAACAAGTAGTGAGGAGCTGCAATAAAATTATTGGAAAAAGGACATACTATATAAACGCAAAAAGAAATGGACAATTTAAAACTTAAAGGAAGTGCAAAAATAAAACTATACATGAAATAAATGTAATCTACATAATCTTTTCTATAATCCATGGCATCAATAAGAAATCTTGGAAAGAGTTCCTTTTGTACGCCCAATCCCTAATCCTAACCCATATTCCTACCCTCCAGCACTCCCCATTTAATTGTTCATGCCCCTCCTAAGGACATATATAGTTATCTAGAGGGGGCATATACAAATGAATTGGGTAACTGGTAGTGAGTGATAGAGTTAGGGATGGGGTACAAAAGGAACTCTATCAATTTCTTCACATATCCCATAAGTGTAATGCTATCGCCTAAAAGGAAACATAATAATGCTTCTCCCTTCGTAATATCTTCGTGAAGATTTGCTTCACCATTTTTACATCTTGAAAGATGCAGACCTCTTTAAAACATCGCAGCTATCACATCAAAATATTAAGGAAATTAGCAGCACTATTAAACAACAATACATAACATACTGGAGAGAGAATATGATAAGTGAAAAAACAAAACTGAGAACATACATTAAATTTAAAATGAATTACAATCTGGAAAATTACATTAATGTTTTGGATAATAATCAAAGAATATCAATGGCTAGATTCAGAACAAGTAGTCACAATCTAGCCATTGAAAAAAGGCAGACATACCAATCCAAAAACCCCATTAGAAAATAGAATTTGTAAACAATGCCCATTACAGGAAGTTGATATCAAACAGATAGAAATGATTTTATTTCCAATATTTTATTCCCCAAAGAAATCATTACCAACCTGCAAAAATTCACATTTAATGAAAAGTAATGACAGAAATATAATAAAACTTTTAGGGGAATTTTTACATAAATCATTTATTTTAAGAAATGAGCTTTCTTTGGATATAATACCTTGACTCTTTTTTTTATATTTTTTCACGTTATCATACTTTGATATTATTTCAATCACTTATATTTTTATTACTGTAAACCAATAGAACATTTGTACTTCTAAGGATGCAATAAAGTTATTATTATTATTATTAGGATATGACTAATATTTATCATCATATTTATCCCTATGTTCTTTGTAGCTTTCACACTCCAGTTCTAGAGTTTCAAATCTTTCTTGCAGCATGCAAATGAGAAAACATGAATACGCGAGTTTTCGTTCATTTGCGTATTCTAGTATGCCCGACAATTGTGACCACGCACCAATGTTATAAACCAGCCAAATTCGGCTGTGGTTCAGGAGCATAGTGCAGTGTCACACAGTTCAATGTAAAATGATACCACGTGACCTGCCGTCGCGTAGGCGGCTCTACAATAAATGACAGGGGTGACAGACCAGATACTGAGACGGGTTGACAATTTATATGACGTTATGTTTTACCTAAAAAAGTTTAGTTATTTAATATATATATATATATAAATTGCCACGAAAAATGGAATTGGTAAGTCATCCTCCTCATAGAGGATTCAGTCAGAGTGAGTCTCAATGCTAAATATTGGATCACCCTCTCTTCAAAGTGGAACGGTCGACTGTTGACCTCAGTTCCCTATATTTTGCTGGCGACATTTTACCACTGGACCGGACAACTGAGCTAAAATTTCGATGTCGAAATGGACGTGACGAAAACATTTAATACACGGTGTTCTTGGATAAGGTTTTCTGTGATTCACCAGAGTGCTCTTTGAGCAAAAGGTTTGTGAACATTTTTATGTCATTTTAAGTGTGTCAGTGTCACAAATAATAATTCAAATGTACGTAACGTTGTTGACAGATAATTCTCACAGTCGGAGCTACGTCACGATCCCCCAAACGTTGCCAGGACCTACGACAAACAGGAAAAGACAATAAATTTTTGGATTAACACCTCTGTTTCCCCCACGTTAACCAAATTTCCCCACGCGAACGAAAAAATCGGTTGTCTTCTGCTGACTACCTGTTCCGGTCCGTCTGTCTGTGAGAATTTGGCAGAACACGCTTTAGAACACGCTTTTCAAACAACCTAAATATCACGAACATTACAAATATTGACGAAAAATGTGATTATCTGTCAAGAATGTTGGTATTTGATCATTGCCGAGGTCGAAAAGAAGCCCAATGAAACATGGTTCAAATCAGGTGAAGTCCTCCTATTGTGACTGTTACAATGGGCCGAGAATAACAAATTCAACTGTAATATATCAAAACTATTTACATCTAGTGTCAGAAATCTAGAAACTGCGGCTTCCATTGAAATGGTACAATGCAACAGAGGGGATGCGGTTTATATTAGAGCATCTACACATGCATTGTATGAGAAATGATGCATTTGTTGTGCTCAATTATTCAAAAATAATGTGATGCAGCTTCTAATACAGATTTTATGGTACTGGCCATATAAACCACTTTCCCAGAAGTAGTGAGACTGGGGTGCAAAAACACACCTGCTTCTTCATGGCGGCGAATATGTCAGTTTGTTGATACATGTACATTTTTGTGGCGGCAATTGGTACACCCAGAAGCACAACATGTCTTCACATGTGTAAGTTTACTTTACACCCCAAAACGGTATTCGTGTGTATGCGAAACGCTGAATCTTCAACTTCCATAGAACATCGCTGTTGCTTTCGTAATTTAAGGTACTGTGCCAAACGATAATACCGTACTTATCCGGGTAAGAGCCCATGCCTGGACAAACGCCCAGCCCCCACTTTTGACACAATAAAGAAGTTGAGGTCATATCCGGGCACACGCCCAGGGCGGTCTTTTTCTACACAAAATTAAAAAACTGTGGTTGTATTAACAGTTGACTTTCTTGAAGTCTGTCGTGATACTTATAAAAATTGTTAATTGCGTAAAACAAGGGGTGAACGCAAAATAGCTGTGACAGCGCTCTGCCTTCAGTGCAGCGCGTTCACCGCTGATTTTTTGTCAGAATCATAACAGTCAGCAAGTCTATAAAAATAAATATTAAAGCAGAAACTGTAGTTCTCTTTTTGAAATATGTCATGGCCCAAAAAAGGGCCGGCCGTTTGGTTTGTGCTTCCTTAGAAACGATTCAAGCAAATCGTATAAGGAGAGCCGCTAAGCAAGTGTCGCACTCGTTCGGCTTTAGCGTCGTCGACAATGAAAACAATGTTGCAATATTGTAGCAACCCGTACCTGGGAGAATGGTTGAAATCACGTTATTTTGGCTTTATAAATATTTTGTAGCAGCTTGCGAATCTATAACTGGGACCAGCAATTTTGCAATGTCACGCCGAAGACTGACAACTTTTTTACCATCTTTTATCACCGCTATTGCATTTCTGTCATGAAAACTATTCTTCTGTCGTTGGATAAAAAAAAAATTCCTATTTCAAGTCCACCGCGATATCCATATAGTGAGACATTAA